CTTTATCCGAAACGGTTCCATTTAAATTTCATATAGATCTGATGATGAGTTTCGGAGACAGACAACGGAACTCCTCCAAAAATGACAGCAAATCAACTGCGATTGCTGCTAGGTTTTGTTAGTGATCCTTGTTAGTATTTTTTTAAGTAGGTTCAACTTTTTTTAAAGGGATTTTTTTGTACCCTTGTTTCATTATGGTAAAATAAATATTTTTTATCAACTTCTAATATTGGCTATTACATGAATTCATTCTGGGATAGTTTTTTAAAGGTTTTTGTTTTGGAAACCGTTATGAGTTACGTCACCGAAGCCAACGATTAAGTGATATATCAGAAACAATATAACTAAAGTGTGAAGGAAGTCTCTGGGAACCTTTCCAGACCTTAATCGCATCTGTATCGGTATACGGCCACAATGTGGACCACGACAAAGTACCTTCTCTGGCCTCCTTTAGCTAAGGTAAGGAACAGCTTCAAAGGTAAAAAAACCAATACCTATAAAAATATTTAGATCTTGAAGATCTTGAAAATTATAATTTAGCGTATTGAATTGAATAGTAAATTTATTGAAAAACAAATTAAATTTATTTCTAAGCAAATAATTTCTCAGTCATTTCAGTCACTTCAGGCTACCCTAATGCATTCGAACTTACATATATTTGCCTTGATCCAAAGACTGAATGTAATAGATGATAGTGAAAAAATGTATTTAATTCTATCAAAAAAGAGACTACACCACTAAGTATACGTATATTTGAAGTCGAGTCGAAACAGTGCGGTACCACTCTGGATTTAGGGAAACTAATTTGAACTCTCTTAGACTTATTATGGTTATTATATATTAAATAATCGATACAATAAGAACTGAAAAACGAAGAGCCTAGCCTAGATAAAACAGTACGTGAAAATTCACTTATTACAGGTACCTACATTACTGTTTCCTATAACTCGACAAAAATATCAATCCTCCAACAAGGTTAATTGCCATTATGAATTATGGTTATCTAACGTTGGAGACATAACAGTCATTAATAGTCCACTGCTGGATATAGGCTTCTCCTTAGAAAGGAGGTTTTGGCCCATTATACCACTCTGGCCAGACTTGTTGGTACAGGGTTTGTGTCAAGTTTTCCTTCTCTTTGCAGTGGTGTTGTCCTGCGTAGTTTGCTCCCTTAGTCGGCTCTTACGGCCCATGGGATTAATGCGGGTGGTGACACTCTGTATTCTTAATCCGTCACTACACGGATAGACGGGCTTTGCTAGACGCAAGCAAGCCCAATTCAAGCGATTTTGACATCGTGACTAAGCAGTCTTTCTTTCTTTTCCAACTATTAACATATTTCGGTATGATACTTTGAAAATATCCGACGGCAATTTAAAAACTCAACCGTATCCACGTTATCTAGGTGTTGTTTGAGGAGTGCCGTAACCGCGGCACGGGGAGGGAGATGGCTGCAATTAGCTAACCGGATCAGCTCGGACGCAAACACAATTGATAGCACCCGCTACGCACTGCTATACCTGTCAATTTAGTTTCCTATATTCAGTTTGAAGTGACGTGAGTTTTTGTATGTATTCTTCTACCCTCCATGTATAATTTTTCAATTCCTTAATGTCTCACCCTGAAAGTATAGTCACTTAAAATTACACATAAATATTGTTTATTATACATGTAAACAGTTTAAAAAAAAAGTAGTGACTACAAAACAGTCGAAATTTATTAATAAGTATCTTTTTACTTCAATAACTATATCTATAATATTATAGTTCAGTAAAATAAAGATAAGAAATGTCGAATTAAGATATTTTTATACCCAGCACTTAGATAATTGGCACTCCACCACTGTGCGCTTTTCAAGACACTTTTTGTTTCACACAACCAATCTGTGGAATAATTTATCGTCTGCGGTATTTCCGGAAAGATACGACCTTCAAACCTTTGAGAAGATCGCACGTCTACCTCAAAGACCGGCATCGCATGAGTTGCAGGAGTTCATGGGTAGTCGATTTCTATCAGGTGAAATTCTTAAGTAAATATTGTCTTCCTGGCTTTATCATCTTGGGTTTTTTTAACATTCGACTGTCGTTAAAAAGACCAATATGTATAACTTGTTAAAAGGAATCCTTTCAGCCGAAATTCAACAAGTCTAATAGTAGCTGCTAAAAAAAACACCTTTTACCTACCTCCGTTTTCATATTAGCACCGAGATTCCAAATTACGGTATTGTTATCCCTATTTTATATAAATACAAAGTTCCTTCTCAATATGACCTCTTAGAAGTAGGTCAAGATTGAGTTTTAAGATTTGATTACATAGGTAATTAGTTTGTTACATACTAGTTAATAGTAAATCAATCAAATTAAGGCTATTGATGATGATGATATCATGTCCTTAATGATATGTAGGAGTTTATCCACAATCTATTTCAATAATGTAATTAATATTCTGAAAAAAAACATCCACATAAACGCAAACCGAAACATGGTATCCATGTTTATACATTTTTGCACTGGGTGGTCATTGAACCTCGACTCGAGGAGTGCAGTCGAATGAAGTACCGCAACAGATAACTTTACGGTCAGATTAATTAATTTTTTTGTAATAGAAATAGTAAATACATATACTTACACTGTTTCCTCATCATAAGTCCCTGTGGTGATGGGTTAAAAATACAGAGTGTCACCATCCCTATTCATCCCGTGGGTGTCATAAGAACCGAAAAAGGGAGCAAACTCTGCAGAACAACAGCTCTGCAAAGAGAAGAAAAATGTGACACAAACCCTATACCAACCCGTCTGGCCAACGTGGTATTGTAGGACAAAATCTCATTCTAAGGAGAGGCCTACGTCCAGCAGTGGACTTTCATATGATGATAATGGTTTCATTTCAGAAAGTTAGTTTCATGACATCGATAATAAAGAAAATATACAAGTAAATCAGATAAGCTATTTTTAAAAGGGAAAAGCAAAAAGGGGACCTCTTGTTCCTGCCGGGAAGTATTGTTGCCTAGTGATAGATTGACTGCCATAATTAATTTTCACTAAATCAGAAATGGCGTTATCCTTATTTAATTTGCTAGTTGTTATAACATAATTATATTGTCTAGCTAATTATAATGTCACACAATCATGTTTGTATTACAGTCATAAATACCGTAAGTTTATGTCACATGACTAATAAATAAAAACTAACTGACTAATAAATTATAAAGAAAAATAAATAAAAATAAAATAAAATAAATATAGTACATATTAACATCAACCCCTGTCGCATCTATTACTACCTAATCTTTAGTAGAGTGGAGGCACTAAGGTTTCTAAAAAACTCAGAAATCTATTATTTCCTACTTTCTTACTAGTTATTGTATATTGGACTATCAACAATACTTAAAAAACTCTCATACTTCTATATAAAACAAACCTACAATACAGTCATTTTTTTTTAAGGATAAGGCATCCTTAAATGTATGTATAAAGTGCATTGTTTATGAAGCACGAATAATACAATAATAACACGTGCTGTGCACATTGCGCCCGTTTCTGAACTGTAGCTGTTATCACACATACACACACACACACACACACATACACACACACACACACACACACACCAATTAGGTGATTGGCTTTATCATCCCTTTGGAAGATATTTTTGCTTTTATTAACAATGATTTTTTTCACCCCAGTTTTATGTGACCAATTTATTAGTATGCCTCTATTCTAGTTAGTATTTTGGGTTCCGCAAATCCTGTATTGAAAAACAGATAAAATAATTAGTTTACCATATTTTACAAAAAAAAATTGGATGATGTTATGCATTTACGAGTATGTATGTCAATGCTCTATTCGCGATGTAGGCGGGGACAAACTTGACTGATGACTCGATCTGTCGAGCCACATACGAGCTTTTGGTTGCTTGATTACTCTATTAAAAGACAGAAATTAAATGTAAATGTATAGAAAATAAACACAGCAAAATTTTCAGCCAAACTAAAAACCTAATCCAGCCGAAAAACAATGTACATATACATATTTATTTCATAGACAAACGTTTACCACTTCGATTTTTAATCCTTCTTTGATTTATTTGTTTTATTTGGCATTTGTCAGTATATCAGGCTATCGGCCATAGCTGAGCTGACTGTGCTGGTTTATGCCTATTCATGTACAGCAAGTTTAGTAAGGGTTAAGGATTCATCGCTATGCGAATTTGGATTAGATGAAGGCAATTTAGGCCACATTTTCTTTAGCTGCAGGAAAAATAACCCATCCTTAGACCTCTACGGCTACTTAAGAAACTTGAAGATTCCCACGCCTATTAATTTCTCTTCTCTCTTAACCTATTCATCTCCAGAACTCTTCCGAACGCTTATAATCTTTATACGTTGTAATACGGTTATGTTTTGTCCCTCTACAGCTCTACAAACACACGCACCTTCATCACACACTAGACTTTGTCAGAATTGTTGATATCGGCACAGTTTGCCATAAACAAAAAAAAAGTTTAGTAAGGTAATAGTAATTGTTTTGTAATAAAATACTTTGTTAATTTCTCAGAATTCTTCTTTATCTCGATATCTCTAGATTTATACATACATTTAGATTATACATTGCCAAATGGCAAACATTTATTGTACATTTTGTTCGTTAAATAAATACCCTTTTACACTATTTACATTAATACATTTTGTCTTTCTTAGCTATTAAAGTAATCAGTCATTTCTCGAAGAATATTAAAACTTTACATTTACAAATATTACAATTAGAATAAGAAATAATTATATCGGTAAGCTTGAACACATCTGCAATAAAAGTAACAAATAATATAATCTATCAACATTTACTTTCTAGTCTAGACTATAATCTAAAATCTAACAATAAATATCTGATATAAAGCAAATTAGTTTTTATTCCTATTTTATGTACAAGCTCATTGGTTTATCACATTTCAACAAATCCGACAGAACGGATGCTTAACTACATAACAATAGCACTAAAATGTCAATATGGCCGCCAAACCGATTTGTGTGTTGGTATCGCACCATTAACAATTTTGGTTGATGTTGGACTAGTTGAGAGCACTCTCGAAGTGCGCTGTGAAGGCGCTTTCAAATCGTTTTTGACCCTTGGTCTATCAGCCACCGTAGAATCGGCGGCTTGTACCCGTTTCATCTCTTGCAGTTCTACATTTGCTGGCCGCGTTGGATGGAACGCAGATTTTACCACCTCAATTGGTTCTTCGTCAGATTCGTCAGTGATTGTCGCCTCATGAATGGAATTTACTTCGGACTTTGAATCAGCCTTTGACCTATCTGGACTAGCATTGATAAGACTCCTTGGACTGCCACTTTGTCGACTACTTGTTGGCGATAACCTTGAACTCGAAGTGTCAATTGACATATTATTTTGTAGATGCCTCAGTGCATCATAGGGGTTAACTCCATTTTTCAATGACAGTTCTGGCGGTAATGTTTTCATTGTTGGAGGCGGGAAGGATAAAAGTCCGTTTGGTAAGAAGGCGCCGGGAGGAGGAATGAGTCCACCTGGTGGTAAATTTGTGATCGTTGGTGGGAACGGAAACAGGTCCGGTCCTGGCAGCGTGACTGGTGGCGTGGTGATAGGACCTAAACAAAAGAGATAAATAGTTATTGTTAAAGTTTTCGAAAACTTTTTATTTTGTTTCTTTAATAATCAACTTTAAGTTACGCCGTATCGAGTTTTCTTACATTATTTAAATACCAAATGGTTGTTAGACATGAAGATGTAAAAACTATTTGAGTTCAGCTCCGACGGGAGCTGATTTGCTAACATGACGTAATATGAAAGACGAGCCCCTGGGGATAGCCCGCGGCGCACGGGCACTCCGTCTATTCCCTGAACAACGGGGGTGCATAATCGTACTAAGGATAATGTACAATCTGTAGGCGTTTAAAGGCGGCATCACCGAAAGGGATGTTTTTTTAGTGCGATATTGGGAGGGTGAGGGTGCAATATTTATTTATCCGAACACGAAGTAGTTCTTTGCAACGAACACGGCATTCCATCGTAATTTTGTACTATACCAGAGCTTCTGTGTCAAGGCGTGTATTTCAGGACATTATTATAGATGCAGAGTAGGTACGTGTATAGGTGCTGCAATAGACACGTGTGCGCTCCACAAAGCGAGAGCATCGCGATAAGGAAGCACACCTCTATCTACGTGTACGTTGAACAAAGAGGGCACCAAATGTTAAATTCTCATTAACAGATGTGTTCAAAAATTTCTTTCGGGGAGCTTTGATTCTCGATAACGTGTAAGAGAAGCTCGCATGTAAAAAGGATATGATGCAGGTGCAGATTGGGCCACAAAGAGCTCGGAGGTGGTGCTACGTTCGTTCCTCTTTTGCACTTTTTCTATTTAGCACAGTGGCAGTGCGCAGACCACTTTAAAAGGCAACGAGGGTGGGTGGGGATGTAACTAGGGGGTAATTTGGCGAGGAGGGCGCCAATATCGGCGTCGCGCCTGATTGAGGTGATTTCTGATCGTTAAATTTGATTTTGTTTGGTATGAGATAATTTTTAATTAGGATTTATTGGGTTAACAGAAAAGAATGCAAGCGAAAGTGTATGAAATGACATAAATTTTATGTCATGTTAAGTGCAGTAAATATTGCTCATTTATATTATGAAAGAAATATATATTAATTATATATTGACAAAGCAGCCAAGTCTCACGTCTGTACGCGTCATAGGGTTAATAAAAGCCTGTAGGTGTTTGAGTACATACTACATCGCTTCTCGCATTTCAGCGTCGGAAACAAAAAGTAGCTGGTGGCGCGGTCGCCTACATTGGAATAAAATTGACTCCACACTCTCTCGAATGTGAAGGCAGAGCTTTTTTGTACGTTTAGTGAGCACCCCCAACTTGCCCCCGTGTACCGTGGCGGACTTCAGCGGGTGGTTTTGCTTCGGTCGGTCCGGTGTTGTTTTGCAGAGTTCAAGAGTCACTTCTTTTATTTGAGCCGCTTTTGTACGGCCTTGAGGGGTGGTGCTATTGCCAACAACATGTTTTTGAGTGCTTCTGGCTAAATCGGGAATTTTTAATTTAACAAATACCGTTATTTTGTGCTGAATGAACGTTTAAGAGAAATTGAGATTTTAATAAAAGCCTATGTGCAGTCGCTTAACATAGTTTAAAGTCTAGAAACATGCACACCATTAGCGCTTTATTTAATTTAAACATGTTGAATATACAATACCTTTTACCAGGGCAGCGGTCTGATCCCGAATTTGCGGGGGTCTGAAGTAATCTGCCCACGCGTAATTTAAGTACGCTGCATCCAGCCAGCCGGGGTTTAGCAGGAATGGACTAAACGCACCGGGGTGGCCATAGCCATAATCTAGAACAAAAGAAAGACAAGTTGTAGTGGTCTGCTTAATTTTGTTTTATTTGAATTAATATATGAATTTTTTTCGTATTTTTTACAAGGAAGTATGTATATTGTTGACTTTAAGTATATTATTGCTTGGCGGTAATTATCAAAGAAGTTAAATTAGCAAATAGTAAAAAAAAATATTATTCAGAAGTATTTATTGCTCGCTTTGTTAATTTATATCACTCTTTTGATACTAACATTTGTTGAAAAATGAGATTTGAACGCAGGAAGTTAATTCTAGACTAAAACTCATAATGTCTAGCCAAATCAATAATCGAGCTGACCGACCATCATAAATAGTAACCATAGTACATATCCACGCAATGGCTTTTGAACTCCGACGTCAGTAACGTCTTCAGCCACGTCCGCAACTAGTAAAGTCACAAAGGGTGGCCGTAAAGGCGGCGACACACGGCCCGCGTACTGTTTACCACCCGACGACTATAACAAGGGTCTGTATACAATACGAGTTGGTTTACTACTGCAGTTAGACGGCTCCTCTGTACCATACGATTTTACGACCCTCCAACGTCATGTTACCTTTCGCCTTTCATAGCGATTTTTTATTTGTTTAATCGATACTGAAGACGTCGTCTGCAACTATTTTCGGCTGTTTTACTACATATTTAATCCAATAGAGACAGGCCAATTGATGAGATCAGGTGTAACGTTTTTATTACGGGATTAAACTGTTTACGAGCACTTCATCTACTTTGTTTTGAACTTTGTATACGCGGTACTTCTTAGACTCTTTATTAAAAGTTTGTTGTTGCGAGTTTCTTTTGTCTGTCAACATTTTATCGCAAGCTAAACATTCCATGCGATGAGGCAGTTTTTTACATAGATGATGTCGTTTATCGCTCACTAAATGTTTACGGAACAATTAGTTTATTTACGTGAACCGTACCCCTTTAGAGAGATTAGCGAGTGTTTCGTGAGAGCGCTTCACAGATCGCGGGTATTTTAAATTAAGAACTTGATGGATGGCCCGTCGCGCCGTCGCGTGTCGAACCGAGGAGCTCCAACATCATGGAACAATAATAAGTTAAATGTGGAACTCGGAAACGGGCCGTTCCATTTGTTAATGCCAGTATTCAATTAAATTCACTTCCCCGACCCTTTCATACACGGGGCTCTGAATATTAACGCGGCAAAGAGAGCATTTCTAACGTTCAGAAGTACTATGTGATTACTGAGAACTTGAGTTAATATTAATCGCGGTAAGTAGGAACATTAACCCGCTCAGTTATTTATGAGGAATGCTTTCCAAACTGAAGAACTAGAATCGCAAAGATATTTAAATATGGTCGTATAAATAGTTGAATGTACGTGAACGTGCTGTTTCACAATCCGTTTATCTGAACGTGAATTCCAAACGAAAATACTGCATCGCGTATAGTGGGCAAGTTTTCTGAATAAATCTATAAAGTTATTTCTGCGTCCGTTAATCACCGCGTCCTAAAATTGTACATTGGTTAAAAGAATGTGGCCCGTCTCGTATCAAAAGTGGTCGCGGCCAAATTCGTACCGCTTGAGACAATAAACGGATGATGCGAGGCATAAGTGTCAAAATGAGCATTAAATATCTCGGACGAGATGAGAAGCGAGCGGTGTCACTCGTAAATTGCTGTTAAGGAGTCGTCGTCTTTAATAAATGGAATCAGAGTTATGGCTCATAATTTGGACGGGGTGGAGACGATGTCCCCCAACTAACACCGCATTTATAATGTCTTTGCTTAATAGTCTACTTTATTGTTGATTTATGTAGAAATACATAAGTATGTATGCGGGTATTTTCTTAAAAATATACAATTAAATACTTACGAATATTTTAAGGCTCGATAATTTTGAAATATCCTGTTGATGGTCGGCTCGGAACTAACATTATTAGAAATATTTGGTGGCTTTTAGTCAATAGCGTAATTGACTAACTAAATGAATGTTGAAGACTTACAAAACTTTATACAAGGCTTTAAATATACTATAACTATGGTTTTGATAAATTGTTACTCCGAATGACTCTTCTACAAAACGTAGCTACAATTCTGTCGAGGGATAGATATGGTCGTCCGGCTTGACGGAATCTACAAAATTGCAAGTAAACTTGCAGACCAAAACTTAAATATTACAGTCTTGAAGTAGTGTCAATAACTTTAAAGAGCTTTATTTTCCATAAGTATCTTAATATCTTGGCAAAGTCCTTGGGCCTTGGTTATGAGGGTCACTGGCTGTAGATGTGCGGTATTTCAGCAGCCAGCAGAGACATAAAATCCATATTTTAGAGGCACCGCGTCGGGGTGCAGGCGGGGAGATCAAACGGGAGTTTACGACGTGGACGGAGATTGTTTACATCTGTTACGCAGCCGAACCACCGTCCAACTTGGTAACCGCTGCACACCAAGTACTGATTATAAAGGTTATCAACCGTCCTTATAATATTACAGAATTTCCGACTGAATATTAATAAAATTATTGTTATTAGTAATATAAAAGAACCATAAGATTTTTATGCAAAAGTCGATATTAGTTATCGACTTTTGCACATCAGGAGAAATTTTAAATTTGGTGAATAATAATAAATTTGACACAAACCCTATACCAAACCATCTGTTTAGCGTGGTATGGTAGGCTAGGTTCTCCTTTCTAAGGACAGGCCTATGCCCAGCAGTGGACTAGTAAAGGCTGTTGATGATGATGATCATGATGAATAATACTATCCTAATGGCTTAGTAATTAAGTTTAATATTTTGCCATGCTAATGCATGACAAAATATTAAACTTAATTACTAACGTTCTAGTTTTTTAAATGACTAGGCGTAGGCGATATCTTGCGCATACTAGAGATCGGCTTATGGAATAATATCATTTTAACCCAGGCCGACGTATATATATTGTTTGTCTGTTTGAATTAATGATATTTAAGTTTCGTACTGCCCTATCTACTTCTACTATTTATTTATTGGCTAAATTTTTAAGCACATGTATGTACAAAAACGGTCGTGTTCAACGGTTATGAAAAGTTAATGTAAAGATTATGTTTGGTGCAGTATATCTTACTCTAATTTGAAATTATTTTTATTATTTAGAAATATACTAAAATTTAAAACTAGTAATTGTACTGTAAAAATTGCATAAGTATTTCATTTTTAAAACAAATTTAATGTTGATTTGCGTCAAAAAAATTCAGCGAAATTTTAATCGTCATTAAAACAAATTATTTATAAACTAGAGATGGATCACGTCAAATAGGATTTATGTACATTCATAATGTATCCAAATGTAAGCTAGTCTTACTCAACTGCGTGATAATTAGAACGTTGTAACGGCCATTAAGACAGCTTCATTGATCGCTTTATTAACTTGCCTTTGAAGTTTATGAGCCAAGGATGTTAGTTTTTCCACATACTGCATTTTTATTATTGGTTGAAGTTTGGGCGCGACTGTTTGTTTACACAGTCGTCTCGGTACGTTTTAAAATAGATTTGTGGTGTCAAAACATTATGATTTCAGTTTAATTTGAACATTCCTTTGTCTGATCAACATGTGCTACCTTACATTCATAGGCAGGTCAGCTATATTTAGTTAACGGTATTGATTGAAAGAAGATCTAGTAAAAAGAAGTGTATATCTGGATCGCGGTAAATGTCGGTCTATCGTTGCTGCCTATCCCGGACGATAGTTAGGCGTGAGTATGGTATGCAAATATGTAATTTCAATGGAATTGCTATTTGGTTGGTTTATATTACTATCCATATTCAATGAAACGATTTATAATTACATGAAGAAAAAATTAAAATTTTATAAAAATGAAAAATCCTCAGAACATTTGTTTTTGTTTCTTAAACTAAGCATACCTAATATTGAAATTGTAATCGATCTTCTCATTATGAAAGTATGAACTTCCATATAACACTATTACCACAAACAAAATGTATGTTAAACACTAGTGTAAAACCATGTTCGTTGTGAACATCAATAACCATTAATAAGCTACTGTCAAAACACGACAATCACTTAACTTTAACTCCTTGTCCATAATGTTCTCGTAAAAGCGTACAATCGTTTTTATTTTGAGAAGCAATCTTGGCTGTAATTTTCCGAGTAGTGAGGAGATTAAACTGAGTAGGCAATTAACGTCTCTGTGATTGACTGTTGCACACGGCTGAGAACAATCACAAAGATGCTAAATCGGTTGCGGAGATGTTTCTGTACAAAAAAATACAGCCGCGATTCCGGAGTAAACGATAGATGTTTCGCCAGTGATTTATTTGCTAAGATTAATTCTCTTGACTAGTAATGATAACACCAGGAACTGAAGTATTTAGATAGGAGATTTAGTTCATTTAAACATATTTTTAAGTGTTATTATTTCAAAGTGATTCTTTTTTTTTTTTTTTTTTTCGGAGCAGGGCAAACGATCAGACGGGTCACCTGATGGAAAGCGACTACCGCCGCCCATGAACGCCTGCAACTCAGGAGTCACAAGCGCGTTGCCAGCCTTTTAGAAATGAGTACCGCAGATTAGTTGGGCGAGGCAAAAAGTGTCTTGAAAAGCGTACAATGGTAGAGCTCCAATTATCCAAGTGATGGGGATGAAAATTTTGGCGTGTGGAACGATGGCGTAAAGCGGTGATAGTAGTAGATAGGTTGTAAGTTTAAATATTATACGGTACCTAAATTTAAAATTTTGTCATTTAATATTATTATTAAAACAAATTTTAAAAAGTAAAAAGATCTGTTTTACATATTTGAAACTTAATTTAAGAATTAAACGTAATTAAATAAGAACGTGAAGTTAAAAGTTTCACATATTTAAAACTTGGAAGAGCATAAACACTATTTCTATCAACAATTATTATTAATATTACAATGAATAATATACATATAATATAACTATAATACATACATAATAATACATTAATTAATATTTTTTTAGTAAAGATACAACCGCAAATACACTAGTTTACAAATACACTATATCTTTACTAAAAAAATAGTAGGTAGGTACGAGTACAATATTAATATTAATTTATCATGATTGTGAAAAATATCTAAATAACTTACTACAAATAGTTCTACCTATGTAAATCTATAGCTAACTGCTTGCAAACTTCATAAGTAGGATAAAGTTTGATGCAATTCAAAACTTTGCTTAATAGGCCTGTATTAAGATTTTTACCAAATTATAATATAAAATTTAGACTGTTTGTTAGAAAGCTAAATGAAGAATAGAAAAACTAATAAAATTAAAACTTTTGTATCTATCGACAAACAAAGCTACGTAAAAAACTGAACAAACTTTTTGGTGCAATGAAAACGACAACCCAAATGTAAATTCAGTTTTAAAGAGATGTAAAAATATATTGAATCTTGATGTCACGTGAGTGTTAAAAAATATTAGATTTTAAATGGATCAGAAATAAAACCGGTGTCGATGTGGTTGAATGTTGCGGAGCCGCAAAATCGACCTCGGCTCTGTGGACTGGCGACGGGCCAAATTGAGTCGCGCACGCGCATCGATCAAATGTTTTGTACGAATTTCATACATTTATTGTTTCAATGATACCTACGTAACAAATGGCAGTGTAGTGATAAATAGAAAAGTGTGTCAAATAAAATGGTGATTTTAAAAACGATAATTGCTTTTGCGAATTCAAGACGATAGTTTTCGATTTACTGATATTGTTAAACTTTAAAGTTAGTTTAAAGTAGCAGTAAGTATACTAAGGTATAATATGTTTGTTAAATTAAAATTGTAATACACTCTACGACACTACAGTAATAAACAGATTAATATATATCGATTACAATAACATTAATGAATAAACAAAAGTAGATCGAAACAAAAACAAAAGTTAGAAACAAAGTTTGTTAAAAGTTGAAACTTACTTTGCTTAGTTCTAGGTTCTCTGGGGCCGTCGACGGTCACTTTGATAGCTTTCATGTAGCTCGCCACTTGTGTGGGGAATGAGCTGATCGTGATTGTGAGCGAGAATGACTTGCCTCGCCCACTGCGGCCCACAAACCTCAAGTCATTAAATTTTGCGACTTGGTTTTTCATGACCGCCGTGCAGTTCCTTAGTTCCGCCATCGCGTTCTCATCATTCCCTGCCTTAATGGTGACCAAAGTGCCATCCTGCACGTCATCCAATGCGACCACTTTAAAAGCCACCGGCAGCGATTTATTGGACCTCCAATGCCCAGGAAGCGCCGAACACAATACCGCCGGTGAACCAGTCTGCACTAGTTCACCGTGACTCTGCCGGTAATATTCATGGATATGAGAGTAGACGTCCGCCATGCTGGGGGCCGGAGGGCTCGCGTGCGGGAGGTGCATCGACTTCAGTCTACCCTCACCGAACACCGCACCGATTGACGACACGTCACTGTAGTCTTTAGACACACTTGTGTAAAAGTTTCAAAACACGCGACCGAAGAAACTCGCGGCGAGTGGTGTCGCGTGCGCGGAGCACTCACAAAGTTGTGCAAAGTACGGGTGCGAGACTCCGTGTGAACCGCGGCTAGCGTCTACACCACTTGTTGGGCGCGGACGGCAAGACGCCGGGCGGGGGACTCGGGAAAAATAAACGGGAGGCCGTGTGACTCGATACCGCAAGCCGAAGACTCACGACGCGCTCCGAAGTCGTCGCGAAGAGACGCGTGCTCACGAGAACTGGGTTTCGACTGATGACTGTGATACGACGCGACTTTTTCCGATGGTCAATATTTTGCGTTCGCGCGGTCGCCGCCCCCACTCGGGTGGCGGCCCCTACGTCTCGTAAAAAGCGGGAAGGAGACGAAGGGTGCGGGTGATGCGGTGTAGCGGTGGGAACGAGCGGGACGGCGGCGGTCGGTTTCTGCGTTTTTATAAAAATACTCGCTGGAGTGGGACGCCGCGGCATACCGCCGTCTAGTGAGAGAGGGATGGGTGGATTTTTTTGAATCACCGCGGTGACGTATCGCGAGGCGGCGGTAATTAGGCCGCGGGGCGGCGGGAAACCGCGGCCGGCGCGAAAACCTATCAACGAGCTCATGAAAAATTATGATTTTCATGTTTTGGAGTAGGTGCCGCGTTCGCGGGGTGGCACTTCATTTTCATTGAAACACGCAAGGAATTTCAATGACAGGCGTTTGACTGACACTTTTAATCACTGGAAATATTTGTGGAACCATTTTTGTTAACTAACTTTGAGAATAATGCTACATATAAATTGTGTGCATATATTTTGATCAGGTTTAAAATATTATTAAAATTAATATGCACATACCTAACATAAACTTTAATGAAAGTTGCTTGATAGGAATCAAATACTTACCTACAGAGCAAATTTCATAGCAGTGTTCCAAATTAACGTAAATTTTTATTTTATAAATAACCGTCAGTCTATTTCTATGAATTTATATAATATTAAAGATTTAAAACAAAAGTCAAATTGTTTTTATCTTAGTAAGTACAAAGTGAGTAGATACGCGTCGCGTCCGCGTGCGGTTACCCGCTGTGTTGTGGTGTGAGCGAGATAAAGCTTTGTGCGCGTGAGATAGAGGAACAAGGAGGCGGGGCTGCGGGCGGTCCCGGGAAACTTCTGCTCAACTTTCGTGAGTTTCCCGCGCTTTTCACGACATGTCTCTCGACTCGATACACGTCTTCTTGAGACTTCGTTACTTTCATCAGCTCTGTAAATAAACTATGTGTAAATAAGTATTTTATTTGATACTTACCCACCTTGTAGATACTAGCGCTTTCTAACGAGAACGAAATTAATGTTATTTAAGCTCTTCATAGTTTTAAGTTGTTCAGTGATATGTGTAATACGTACATTCGTACGTTATTCCGATTTATTTAAGCATCTTCTCCAATAATTCTCAAATGTAGTTATTTTTAAAGCGATATAACTAGCAATGATAAGGTAAATCTAACCTCATGCTGTATTTAGACATGCAGGTATGTAATTGCTACGCCTTTTATTAGGTGTCAAAATTTAAATGAGGTAAATTCATTAATTAACCTAATTTAACAGCACTAAAATTCATCAGGTTGTTTCTAGTAGGTAACTGCCTTATCAACATGCATAAATATTTACGACTGTTTATCTAAAAGAAGGTAAACCCAAACAAACCAATTGTTTTATTCAAAAGTTATGGTTTTATTGCCGCCAGGCAAAAGCGGCATTCTTTGACGGCCTTATCTTTTGTACGCCAGTAGGCAGAGCTTCTTTTGACCAATGTTTCAAATCTAGTACTTACTGTATAGTTTGAACTTTTATTGTTTGAAGGTTGCGAATAAAACAATTTGTCGGTAATTATAATAAATGTAGGTAGATATTTTAAGGTTTTATATTATGAATATTTGTAAGCAAACATTGACTTTAAAAGTGTAAGTTGGTTTACTCTTTTGTAAGTAAATAAATAGTTCTACACACACGTTTTATTATTATGTTTTATTTCTTTATGGTTATATTTTTTATTGTTTAATCGTGGTATTTAAAAAAAGGAATAGAAATGGTTATTAAAAGTAGAGTACACATGGTGGGTGGTCATTAACAGCACAACTTTTCACAAATATTACAACCTAATAGCAGTTTTAAGTTGATATAAATCTTTTCAATAGGCTCTGGTTTCGGCTGAACAATTTTCTATATTTAATAGCTCCTTCACGTATAAAGCAAATTATAAAAGTAAAGTTAAATATATGAAATATTGTTTAATTACTAGACTAGTTCCATAGTTTTAATAAAGCATTGATGAAATTAAATATACATATTGGAACTTTCAAACTGCATCCTTAATATAGGTAGTATTAAGGAATGCATTTGCTAACCATACCTTTCATAGATGTTTATTATATTTGTTATTAGTAAATAGGTCTAGGAAATCATTGGGAGAGGCCTATGTCCAGCAGTGGACAAGCATAGGCTGAGGTATATATAAATAGGTCTATTACGTTTTTTATTAGTTATGTAAGTTAACAATGTTGCCAAAGAATTGTGTCCTCGGCAATATTGTAACGTATTTTTAAGATGTGTCAACTAAATCTACGATTTGTCATTGCCTGGCAATCAAACCTGTTGCATTGAGAAAGAGGATTTATCAACAACACATAATATGTTTATCTCTAAACTATCGTAGCAATTTAAATGTTCTAGAAACCAAGAACTCTTATTTCTCTTCTACTAGCTTTAATCGGTGGTTAATTAAAAAAACGGGCGAGTGTTATTTTCATTACCATCAGATCCTCTAGTTAAATACTTTGTCTCTTTCTCTAACTCTTATCTAGAGGTTGTAAAAATGGTTTGAATAAATCATTTTATCTTTTTTATTGCAACGTATATGATATTCTAGGAAACTGAAATCACTGGAGATAAGAATTTATGTAGATATTGTTTGGTTGAACGTACAGGCATATCTTCTTTTCCAATGAATAATGGTACATGTAAAAACACATGGTACATTTTAAATATAATTACCCACATTATACTATACTCTTCATTAATAGGTAAATACGTATTTCTGAGAATTTTTAAGAGAGCGATGAAGGGAGCACGTTGAGAACGGATTTTTTTAAGAAATAGAGATCTTTTCCCTAGATGTGCTAGGTGTGTTGTCACGAGGTAAGAAATAGAACTGTCCGTTTGCTTTCTAATGATCGTACAGTATCATTTAGAGCTTGTCTCTTATTATGTCATAACTTCTATAAATAATAAGAAAAACAAACACTGACTGTGATTATGTTAAGCGATTGCCGATTGTTATAGTTGATTTTTCTCCCACCGCGTAGAGCAGTGTGATTGACTTGCGCCATGGTTAATTTGAATAACAGTCAATCCATGTCGATATGGGCCTAAACAATTGATGGTAGATCGGCAAGACCAATTGAGGCCGATAGTACCTACAGTAGGGTGTCCCGTCAATGTATGGGATTTTTTTTTTTTAAAGCGACGTCTGAGCAAGAGGTATCAAAAGTTGCGTTTTTGTGAATAGATTACAAATATAACAAAATTTAATTAAATATTTGTCATCTTTAGGCCTCTACCGATCCTAGAAGTTTTTCAAATTTGCCATTTTTAGAGGTTTCGAACATAAACTATAAATGATACAAAAATAATGTTTTAAAGGTTTTAATCAAATTTATAGGTACTACAAAGACATAAGGTAATGTTCAGTAAAGTTTAAATACTTATAATTAGTGCTTATTTTAAATACGAAATTGGTTCTTGTGGCCAAAATTAGGCATTTCCGCGCGAGATTTTAATCTGTTTCTGATTAAACCATCCCGAGCTGTAGCGTCCGTGACACTTAGAGAAGCCTCAGTCACTAGCTTTACACATCTTTCCACTGATTGTGTATGACAGGGGAAATCAATAACATCGAAGCTTTGTTCTTTAGCCTTAATTCTCAGTTCGTCGTCGGACATCTGTCGCAAAATCGGTGGAGCGGATATCTCACACTCTTGCCAAAATATCAAATCTATGTAATATCGCGCATCGAAGTTAAGTTTTGGTACTTTAAATACCCTGCGAGTATTGCTTATTTCTGCTTCTCTTGCCTTTAATATTTTACGAGCTGCAAGCTCTCGAATATGCTCTCTGTCGTCGAATAGCATGGTAACAAGTAAGTTTTCAGGGTGAGCAAAAAAAGCGTTTCTCTCGATCACTGAATTCACAATAGATCTTTGCTTATCAGGCAAAAATCGGGAGTATGTAACCATTTGAAAAATATGATTGGCTCCATCTTTGAATGATGAGTTTTTCTTAATGAGGAACCAAACTGGAGCATAAACTTTGACCACATAATTGACAAGCAGCTTTAAATTATTTGATGGCGAAACAGTACTTACATAAAGTCTGAGTATGCGATTGGCAGTAGTTAGCCATCTTGAATGCGCCATTTTTCCAGGTTGGCGGCTCGCTAACTCAGGGGAACAAGAACCAGTCGTCACAGCATGACACATTTCATACAGATACTTTTGATCCGTACTTAGTTCCTTCACAATGTCATCAGGTAATTCGAGCAAATTGCCAGCCACTGCACAAAAAGACACTAGTGGTTTACTTTCACAAACATTTAGCTGTTTTCCAATAGGTCCTGAGTATTCTTTCGGCCCAGATGTGCTACCATCTAGAGACATAAACAAATGGCGAAGCGGTAATTCATTTGTGTGAAGCATACAAACACACCATTGTAACGGTCTCTTCAAATAGTCTTCCAGGTATTTAATGACACCTCCTTTCCAACCTGTATTTGTAGGAGTGCCATCGCAACCCACACAACTTACTTCTTCTAAGTTCCATCTTTGATTTTCTAACAATTCTATAATAGAAGTGACAATCCCTTTCGCAGTACCTCGACTCGGCGTCGTATGTCCCAAGTAAATAGATCCCGGCTCTGTAAGAACTGAAATGTGTTCTTCTAAGACTTCTTTTCGGTGGTACCGGCTGTCTATTTTATTGATCTTGAGAGTTTTATCTTTTCGCCCATCGAAGTAAATACTCTTTATAATAATTTTATCGATGTCTTTGCTGGCTTGGGTACGTGACTTTGAAACAGCTCTGTGAATCTTATTTTTATCAATCACACGGTTTAGATCTTCGGAAGATACCATTCCTACGTCAACTAAGACTGCTGAAGCGACTGCAGCTGCCGAACGCGTTGATAGTCCGTATCGATCACATACCTTAGCTACTGTTGGCAGCGTCAGAGTGTTCTGACTGAATGAATTAGATGGAGACTCCTTTAAGTCACTTTTAGTAGAAGGTTCTATTGAAAGCGACTGTGAACGAGGCGGCAACACGCGTACCGGTACAGAATCGGTTTGTGAAGTACTCGGAAAACATGCTTGCTCTGTCCGCTTCAAATTTTCTTGTCTTTGATGTTTCTTTAAAAGCCTTGCAGTTTCTTTTGCGTCTACGCCGCTTATTGCCATTTTCTTTCCTCAAAACATGAATTTTGTAGGAATTTTGCAAGTCCGACCCAAACCGATTGATCGCTAAAACAACCTGTCGATACTTGCAAATCATAGCCGAGGCTTTTCTTATTG